TCCCACACACCCGTCAAATCAAAGCACGAAATCACGGCTGGCGAGGGAGAGAGAGAGTCGGTCGACTGGTCAGAGAGAAAGTCGGAAGAATAGTTTTTTAGTAATTGTTATCACACCTTCCAAGTACCTATCAAATCAGGATCAATCAACTTTTAGTAATATCATAAAAGAAGAGAACCCATGGTGGGGTTCTCTGAGCTCAAAATGGTGGGCCAGGAGCCCTCCAATAGGGGGCAGCCACTTGTAAAATGTGTTCAGAGTTGTCAAGAATCCCACGTTGGGTTCTCTCTTGCACAGAACCCATGGTGGGGTTCTCTGAGTTCAAAAAGGTGGGCCAGGAGCCCTCCAATAGGGGGCAGCCACTTGTAAAATGTGTTCAGAGTTACCAAGAACCCCACGTTGGGTTCTCTCTTGCAGGCATTCGAGAACCACCTTCTTTGTACATGTGGAACAGGGATGCTATTAGCGCAATTGAAAACATTACTATAACAAAAACAACAGCTGCAAAATCCATCATCGCTTGCCCTAGCAAAAAACATTCAATAAAAAAATCGTGGATTTTTATTGTGAGGGGACTGTATACTGGGGTGTCCTTGATGTACATATCACAAAACTCCGTCGGGTAAGACCGCCAAGAATATAGCTAGACTCGGCATGCCACCTGTAAGGGACATTTATCGAGTAAGGGAATTAATTATTGAGTAAATATGAAATAAATAAATATTTCAGGTTAATTATTGAGACTTTGTGAAATGTGTTTTTTCTTTTATGTACTGAATTTTCAAATGTGTCCGTGAATGGGTTTTCTATGAATTGCTGTAATATACATGTAAACTTGTGTGTGCCTACTATTTTACTTCTATGCCACTCGAGATTCTAGTGAAATGTGTTTTCTTCACTGAATTGAAATGACTTTGTACTCAACTTTATCAATGTGAATCGGTAACTCTATGTAAATATTTAGCATACTGAGTTGAATTTTCTGCTCTACAGTAGTTTAATTTAGCCCCCTGTTTGGCAACTATTATTAGGGGAAAATAGAGTTTTTAATAGTAATTTTTAGAAGAATGTGCGATTAAAAAGAGGGAAAATTTTGGGTTCACGTACAAAACATTTTATTGTTAGAATATGTGATTAAAAATGAGTATGTAAAAAATGAGGTCTAAAAATAATGGATGTCAAACAGGAGCTTAGTCCATATGGACGTTGTTGTATGTAGAGAAGTTTGGCCACTTCGGCTTGTGAGTGAATTTGAGATTTACTTACGAGTATCGTTGGATTATCGGTGTTGATAATGATTTTCTCATTTGATGATGTTTTATGTCTATTGAACGTGTAGCATAAATCTTGACTAGGATAACTGGACATGGAAAAGGACTGGATCATTTCCTTAACTTGACATTCAACTTCAATTTTTTTCAACATGGGATACCTGTATCGAGGTTCACATTGATAGGAGCATTCCCAGGTTGCAGTAATATATCACGGTCCTGTGCACGATTTGGTGGTAGACCCCTCGGCTCCTCAAATAACTTCTTGAAACTTCACATCGTCAATTTCAGTGATACCAATAGCTTGCTCAAACTTGGGTTGTCTTGAAGCTTTACTACCATGTTTCGTAGGGTTGAACAAAACTCTTAAACCGAATCAGACCGAACAAGACCTGATCCGATCCCAACTGAATTGAACCGAGCGATTCTTTTTATGTTAAATACCCGAACAAGTATTTGAATGGAGAATCGACGAGTTCGGTTCTCGTTTCTAGACTAAAAATCAAAGAACCGAATCTCTATAATTTTTTTTTTATCTTAAATGATTCAAATTATTTTATTTTTTTAAATAAATTTGCTAACTAATTAATTTAACCCAAACCCAAAATATGTTTTTCCTATTTCTAATTTTCAGCCCAAATCCCATTTAATCAAATTGACATAAGTTTTACCAAAACGTGTTTATTCTACCGTAGTGTCTTTTTACCGTTCTGGTGAAATCGAAATGGAAGCTCAGCTGCACCTCTCTTCATTATTGTGAGCTTGCTATATTTTTCTTGTGATTTTAACAATCAAATTTATGAAGGGTAATTAACACATAACGTCCCCACATTTGTTGTGGAAAACGTGACTACTTTTTATTTTTTGACACTTTCACCCTTATTTTCATATTTTATTGTGCAAAAGCCATTTTCACATATTTTCTCAATTAAAATTATGAAATGACGAATATAACCTTCTCTTTAAATAAAACAAAAACAAAAAGAAAAAGAATTAATTGCAATTGCAGTCCCAATTTTTTTTTAAAAAGCGCAAATAAGTGACAAATAAATTATTAAAAGGGTAATTAATACAAAATGTCTCTATCTTTCACCGTTATTGCGAAAAACGTCAATACTTTTCATTTTTTTTTGGTATTTTCAGCATTAATTACACATTTAATTGTGCAAATCATCATTTTCATTCAATTTTTCAATAAGAACTATGAAATAATTAATATACTCTCCTATTTAAATAAAAAAATAAATGGGGTAATAAACGGGGTAAGAACATCGCCCCGCGTTAAACGGATAATAGGGCAAGGAATTGCTTAGCGGGGTGGGGGAGGTTGCCTCGATCCCGCCCTATTGCCATCCCTAATGAAATAATAAATATACACTCCCATTGAAATAAAAAAAATATTTTTAATTTCTATTTCTCAAATAATTTATTTGAGACTCGTTTGTACTTTTAAAAAAAATTGGGACTATGGCTGTAAATTTTTTAATAATTTATTGGGGACTTCTTTGCACTTTTTTAAAAAAATTGGGACTATGGTTACAATTAATTTTTTAGCTTTTTATTTAAATATGAAGGTATATTTGTCATTTTAAAGCTTTTTTATTGAGAAATTGGATAAAAATGGATAGAAATGATGGTTTGCTCAATTAAATGTGTAATTAAGGGTGAAATGTCGAAAATGCCAAAAAATAAAAGGTACGGACTTTTTTGCAATAATAGTGAAAAGTAATACATTATGTCTAAATTACCCCTTTAATAATTTATTTGTGACTCATTTGCATTTTTTTAAAAAAAAAAAAATTAGGATTGTGATTGCAATTTATTTTTTCCTTTTTCTTTTTGTTTTATTTAAAGAGAATGATATATTTATCATTTCATAATTTTTAATTGAGAAAATATGTGAAAATGATATTTTGCGCAATGAAATGTGAAAATGTCAAAAAATGAAAGGTATGGACGTTTTTCACAATAACATAAAAGGTGAAGACGTTATGTGCTAATTACCCATTTATGAAAAACTCAACAAAGAAATAAAAAAGATATCATAAGATTGGACTATATTATTTTGTAAGAACTAGGATGGAACATGTTATTAGTTGAATTCATGTAGCGTTATGTAAATATTTAAAAATTTAATTATTGTACGAAACCTGAGAACCGAATTGAACCGAATAAAATGAAACCCGAATGGTTTCATAATTAAATTTGAACCCAACAGTTCTACCTACTAAATACCCGACCAAATCGAATCGGACCATGTTTATCCCTAATGCTTAGCGTGTTTAAACTAAGAAAAGAAGCTAGAATATTGTCATAGTAGAGTCGAGACGAGTCCTGTCCAGCCCAAAGCTACGAGCATGATTGAAAGGATAGGGAAGTCTATCTAAGACTACTAACTCAAGTAAAAATAAATGCTCTCACTAATTAGAGGATAATGGAACCTAAAGCTTATCAGTCCATATATATACTAAAGCATATAGAGTGCTTGGACTTGACTCAAATATTTAAATTACAAGTCAGAGTTGGACTTGAAAAACCTAACCGAGTTAATTTTTCATATCCCAATCTACTGCCCACATTTTTCCAAGGCGCCAAAGCGAAAACAGAACATAAAAGCAGATTAAAGAGCAACCTACTGGCTTTACAAAATTAAGGAACAAAAAAAGTTGGAAGTAGATGAACTTAAAAAAACCGAGGGGCTTAGTTCAACGAACCTTACAGCTACTTTTGACATGTAAGCAAGCAGCCATAGTAAAACCAGTAAGCCATCTCGGTATGCTACGGCTATTGCTCTTGAAGTAGAACATCCATAATAATAACTAATAAGACAACTGATCAAGTACTGCATCTGCTATCCACAGAAAGAGCTAAATGGCAACTCGTACAGGTCTGAGATTGAAAGACTTTGTCTGCATCACACCACATGAAGATAATAAAAAGCGTTGAGAAGGAGAAAGCCCTCGTTCATCATTAATCCTGAGCGAATTACTACCCTCATGCTGTCTTTCTGGTCACTGAGACTCTCTTGTGCTCCCAGTTGTCGTATCTCTTCACCCGTGGAACCACAGACGCGCGCACACACACAGAGAAAGAGAGAGAGAGAGNGGGGGGGAGCAGATGGTTTGAAACAGCAATAACCAAAAATAGTAATAATAATAAATAAAAATGAAGAAAGATGGCAATCGTAGCCTAGGAATACAATTACAAACATGCATAAGAATGTGAATGTCAATAAAATATATAGAAGTGGCAAAAGGAATACAAAAACAGAGTTAAATTGAGCCAAAGTGCAAATTTTCTTACCCCAACAGTCAGATTCACATCCAGTAGCATTTCTGCTTCGGTTGTGGCTATCAAGATCCTTTCCCCTTACCAAAAGTTCTCCATAAGTGCTATCAAGGCCTCACGAAACCTCACTTTCCATGTTGTCATCTAAAACTTACCAATATTAACAGCTAATTACTGCTGGAGTGGAAGAACTCTGCACCAGACTCAAGAATGACCAGGCCTT